TTAAGTGCTGGCACTCTCAGCGAAGGTGTTTTCACAACATTTTTTTTTTTTTTTTTGAAGTGTGAGCATGATGCGCGCCCTCTCTTCTCTTGTAGATGCTGTGTTTAAAGATATGCTGTGGTGAGACATGCTTGAAATGAACGAGTGGAGCCAACAATGAGGTTTCCACTTGAGTGATGTCCAGCAGAATGATAAACAAGGTGTTGGACTTGTTCGGTAACGTTTCATCTAAGTGAAACCCCCGACAAATTCTTGTTCTCCCGTTTGCTTTTTGGCAATTTTACCTCACAGGCAAATACATCAGCAGTGTGTGTGTGTCTAATTCAGCGTGTTAGATGAGGGCTGCAGCTCTTAAGAGTACATACTGTGCAGTCATATGTGTATGGTCTTGAAATAGAGTGTGTGCATAGCTTGTATGTATGCGCTGTGTGGGTAAAAGGGGACGGAATAGACTCAATTTAAATCAAATTAGCATGCAGGGAAATTAAGCAGAGGGATTTAATTTGAGCTGTTGTAAAAATGCTAATTTCAGCACAGCCCGGAAGCTCATATGCAAATACAACACTATTTTACAATAATTCATATTAGGCCGGGCATGCATAAAACACACATATTACAGCCTCATGTCGTCTGGGGACTAGAGTATCATTAGCTTTCAGACTTGCTACAAGGTGATCCTGTCTAGGGGGTGTGTATGCATGAGTATGTGCACCCATGCGCGTATTAGGTACTTCTCCATTCATCTTTGAGCACCAATAATTCAGCAGTAATCTCGTCTCAAGAATTGGAAGTGTGTCTGCAACTAAACATGCATCTCCCTGATTTCACATATATGTTTGAACAGATCAACAAACGCAACTACAACTCACTGTTATGCTCATCTACACAATATACTAAGATCTCACTGTAACTGTGGCAGATGCTGTTGGATTGTTACTGCTGCACTGCTAAACAAACTACTCCTCAAGGAGCAGTAGTCACTATCACATCGTAAATGTGTGACTTCAAAATATCTTCTAGTGAGCATATTGGAAACAGATTCCTCGCACAAAAACTGCCGCCTGAGTCCAATTTGAAGTCTGTAGAAAAAGAGACAACTTCTCTCCTCTGATTATCTAACAGACACTAAAACATGAGCGTGTTATGCTGCTGTTGCCTTAACTGTGAGTCATTTTGCTGTCATAATACCTCATCTTGTTTTCTCACTGCAATGGCTCAAAAGAAGTGCCGCATCAATAGACGATTTGCTCTTCTGGTCCCTTGTGGTTTACCTTTTGATTGCTGGCTCAGAAAGGTTTGCACTTGTATTTGATGCTTGTGGATGCTGTGTGTAAGTGCATATGAGTGTGTGTGTGTGTGTGTGTGGTTCTGTATGCGCATAGTGAGAGAAATGAGGTTTGAGAGTTAACATCTTAATGTTAAGGGAGGCTGGAGGAGCCAGTCGATATTCATCTGACGGGTTAAAGAGAAGTGTGCTGGCTCGCTGAGAACTCACCATGCCATCCAACATCAATTGAAACAATCAATTAAAACACCATTAAGGCCCGGGGTTTCACATGGTCCAACACAGCATGGGTTAGTGCTGGGTGGGAAGTGCATGAGTCTTTGTAAGCAGATTTTTCCAACACATGTAGCTCAGCAGATTATTAATGAGCTTGCTTTTTGAACTGTATTTTTGATAGGAATTTGGTCAGAGTGGTTTAAAAAACACAATTCCCTCAGTAGAGATATACAGCAGCCTTTCGCTGTATACTAGAGAGGGACTGAAAAGCATCCTTTTAATATTTGTTACATGTTTGTTTTTTGAGCCAGAAGTGACCATAGTTGGACGACAGAGCCGATACTTTTGGTAACATCAAAATCCTGGTTGACATTCACCATGCCCTAAAGTGTACTGTGCATTATCATACATTTGACTCTTTTTCTAAATGGAGTCTCCCCCTGCTGAGCATGACAAAGAATGCAGGTTAAAGGAACTTCCAAAGTCTATGAACTAAATTAAATCTCTAAATGAATCCTCTGGATACTCTTATTAGTTATCCAATTTCAGACACCGTCATGCTTCTAAGACCAGATTTGTTTCTGAGTCGCATCAGTGTCTGACTCATGAAACAATCCATCAAGTCAATGAACGCCCAATTTATTTACTGCAGGTTGCCCACATGGAAGTTTTCATTTCTGCCCAGGTGGAGATGTTAAGCGCTTGCGGCTTCCCTCTCATCATCCAACACCTTCCTTTTTAGCATTTTTGCATTTCTAACACAGAGGAATTGTTTGTCGCGTCCCTTCTCTTCCTCTCTCACTCTCTGTCCCCTCTGCTCACCGGGAACAATTATGCCCTTCTTTCAAGTCATCGCCAAGCCCAATTTGCCACACAAATTAATTGGGGCCGCATTTGAAGAGGGGGGGGGGGAAATGAGGGAGAGTGACAGAGAGGGAGATGGCCAAAGACAAAACAACAACTAACAGACAAAACACTCGTGAAAACTTCTCAGTTGAATCAGTCGCAAAAAAAAGAAGCATTTTTATACAATTCTTTAACACTTCTATTAACACGTGAACTGCAATGTGTGTTTATCAGTGGGCCTGGCTGGCATTTTTCTTGAGAGGGGGCTCTAGTGTCCACTGTGTGCGGTGGCGAGGAGGACTGGCTCCGAGGATCGCGCCATCTGTTGAGCAGGCCTACTCAGCCATTTTCTGCTCTCGTGTGTCTCATATCCTCCACCCATTTCCACGGCCCGGAGGCTAGCTCACACCCAAATGGATCCAGAGCACCAACAGAGGGCAGCTTTCCGTTTTGGAAATGCAGCGTTATTCTTGCTCCTGGGGATCAGTCTGGAGCAGGGGGGGTAAATTGAGTTGAGGTCTAATAGGTCGTGAGTGGATAAAGTGTTACGGCAGGATATGCCTGTTGAGGGATTCTAGGCGCTTCTTAAACGCTGGAAGGACGTTTCGCGGCTTTTCCAACAGCAAGGGAAGAAGGTGGGGAGATGACAAAGTTGCAAGCAGAAAGAAACAAAAAATAAATAAATACATAGAGAGAAAATTGGCAAGAGGTTCGGAAGAATAACAATGGAGGGGGTTAGATATGCAAGGAACAAACACGTCCATGCGGGAGATCAGGCAGCACAGGAACTGAATGGGCCGCATATAAATCTGGTATAATATGAGCTACTTCTGCCTATGAACACACTTGCTCTCTTACCTCACTTGCCAACACACCTCATCGCCTCCCCAACTCCCACATACCCTCTCAGTCATTAACAGACAGCCACTGTGGCTACCTCATGATAAGTTTGTTTTGGCTTTGAAATGATGACCCAGCACAGCTGTCTACAAAGGGTGTGAGGTAGCAGCAGCTGCTCACAGCCAGACTGCTAAAGGAAGGAAATGAATGGGGGGGTGGGGCGTCAAGATTTGGGGGTTGCCGACTGTTGTGCTTAAATGTGACTGAGCAATGTCTGGACACGCGAGAGTGGAAGTTTTGACGAGACAGTTGTCTGAGGGAAGGTTTTTGGCAATCCTGTTTTGCTACTAATCGAATGCTGTTATGTAAATTCACAATGGACCGTGGAGGATGGGAGTTTCTAAAAAGATAACTACTAAAAGCCCCCTTGATGCTAACGTTTATCGACTGTTAACGCCGTTTTGGGAAGATCCCGTGATTAAATTGTGTCAATAAATCCTGCAGCTGAACATAAAACGGCGGATAAACGAAGAATACATTTCTCCATTTGCCTCCTCCCCCGCTGCGAGACATATGTGGCACAAGGCGGAGAACAAAACTGAAACACATTTGAACAGATTGCAGGGAACATTTCTCAAGCACAAAGTTGAAAATCTCAGCCATCAATTTCACTTTGCGCAGCTCCGTCGTGTATGACCTTGGGTGAACGATCCCTTCATTCCGAGATATTCAGGCGAACTGAGGGGATTTCAGTTGGTGCGAGGGGTGCAATAAAACTTTTATTCATCCCTCTGTGACTCCAGAAGCTAATGATTCATGGATCTTAGTGTAAAAAAAAAAAAAGTGAGGGTGGATGCTGTGGTGCAAGACCAGAGCTCAATGAGGTTTGAAAACTGTTGTCACACATCAGTGAGCAGGTGTCTGATGTCAAGTAACTCAATTCCAATGACTTCTCATCATGAGATTCTCGGTTGAGGCCTGAGCGTTTCTGGTTCACATGATCGTTTTTTGCAGCGGAAAAAAAAGAAACTTGAAAATGAGGACTTGGTTACTTGGATTTGATTTGTGTGCTGGATATGGTTCCCTCCTAGAGAAGCTGATTTATTCATTAAATAAATCTTGATAAAATGACATCAACGTAATCTGCCTAGTAAACCTATAATCTATAAATACTCAGACAACATTTTGCAAGTTTTTACACTTCTGGAATTTGGTTCACTCTTGGTTTCCATACCAGCTGTCATGTCAGAAAAACACCTCTTTTAAAAGTTCTAAATGAGGTTTTGTTTATTGTTTCAAACTCTCTGCACATAAAGTGTTCTGCAAAGTGAAGCTCAACCATCCAAGTGGAAGTAAAATGAGCAAAATACCATTTCATGTGGAAATTTTCCTTTTTTTCATACATAATACAAAAACCCCTTACTGTCATTCTCTACAATGTGATATTTGTTTAATCTCAATTACTTCAATAAACATTTTCCTTGAATGTAAATTATTTTATTTTCCATTTAAATACAATATATTACTTTGGAAATGAGACCAGTATCTCAGACTGGCAGTGAGAATATCATCCCACTGTCAGCAGCTTTGTTGACTCACATACTGTTTTTTTTATTTTTTATTAAGAAGTTTTATACCATGATGATTTTTTTTTTTTTTTCATGGGTGTTGCATGGAGGTGTTTTTAATGTCTGGTTAGGTTGGTCACTGAAAGAAAAACAAAACAAATCAACAATCCCACCCTTGCCACCCAGCCCCCAACCCAGCAGAGCACCACACTTGGGGCCCATGTGAAAACCAGCGGTCCACTTACTTTGAGCATCGGCGAGGTGGAGGAACAGACCCAGGACGAGCAGCAGCGGCAGCAGCAGCGTGGGTCTGGCTCTGTGCATGGTGGGACAGCTTGGCACCAGCATGCTTTGGCAGCCTCGGTGGCGCTGGCTCACAGAGCCCTGTGAGTCAGTCTGGTCTGATTTCTCAGATGCAGGGTATTCACAGCCTATGCAAGGCAAAGGAGGGAGAAGGAAGAGGGGAGAGGGAGTGAGGAGGGAGGAAAAAGAGAGAGAGGGAGTGAATGAAACAAAGCTGTTTGGCTCCATGGGTTTTATCTATCCCTGCACATTTCTGACATACCCCCACACAGCCTCGGCTGGAGCTGACAGAGGATAGGAAGAGGCTGATGTGCTCACAGGGTATGTTCTGACAGTTCTCTAAATGGAATAGTCACTTCACACAATGCGTGTGCACGTGTGCGCGAGAGGGAGAGAGATAGAGAGAGGGAGAAACCACACAGATGAAAGGGCGGACTAATAAGATTTTGTCTTCACAGCTTTGGTGGCGAGCACCAATTAAATATGCTGCATAATAAGAGTACATTTTAAGTCCTGCTTAGATCAGTGTTGATATCTGTTTCACATTAAAGCTCCTCTGTTGCCTGTAAGAGCAGTCAAACAAAGAAAATACAGGAAATATTCATAAATGCTGCAAGCTTTTTCATTCTTCCACATTTAGCAGTTTAAATAAATTTGACCACTGAGACTTTCTTGAATACAGTACAAGACACAATGTTGTCTCTTAGCTGTATTATGATAAATGCCTTCAACAAGCCAATTCATCTGAAGCACATAATCACGCTTCTTCTGCCACATTTAATCCATATTAGATGCTTTAATAGCCCTAAGTGACTACACAAAGTGATGGAGTAGCTTAGCTTAGCTCAAACAACAAATGAAAATCCATAAGACAGAGTGGCCGAGTGTTGCCATTCATGTTTCGCCCTTTTATCGAAGGGCCACTCACTACATGGCTGTGAAAATCAATGTGATACAGTGAGCTAGTATTAGCTGCACACCCGCTCTATCCGCTTGTCATCCATTTGCTTAAGCCAGAGCTTGATCCTCAGCGATGGATGCTCTGCGGTAGTCTTCAGCTCGCAACACACAGCTCCCGGCTAATCCCAGTGTGTGTGAGCTTCGCTGACATGCTGCACTGCTGGTTAGCATGCTAGCTAACGTGCCTGGATTGTTCTGCGGGAACGCTGTTGTTTCAGCTGGTGAAGGCACGGTCTGTGTACCCTGACACCTTAGGCACTTTATGTACCATGAGATCGAACACACACACCACGTCAGATCTCTTCTACTTTATGGGATTCTGCGGTTTTAGGAGGCAGCAACTGTGCATACAAATGATGTTGCTAGAAATAATATTTTATTGGTTTATCTGCACATTTGACCGCCACCTACTAACAACAACAAAAAAAAGAAGCAAAACAAGCCCCCTAAGCCCAATCAGTAGGCCCAATGATGACAAAGTACCTCATTTCCCTGTTACCAATCATCCTCTTTCTCGCTCCCAGCTCTCCCTCTTTCATTTCTGTGGGCTGTAAATGGCAGAAAAGACGGGAAGATAGCGCACCTGTCACACTCGATTTGTGTCGGGGGGGAGATAGACACGACTACCTGTCTCAGAGCGCCGCAGGGCTAGCGGCAAGCGCAAGAGCGGGGGACGTGTGGCGAAGGGAATCAATTTGAGGCAATCTCATCCCCCGCTCACACCGCTGCTGACACACAAACACAAATGCCTATACATGTACATGCATTTAAGCACACTAGACAGAATTTTCACACGAGTAGTGTCTGAAGCGATGTGGATTTCATTTCAATCAAGTGGACTGAAAACCCCGAGCAGAGCATGATGGGAGAAAGCTGCAGTATGATCCATACATGGTGCAGGTATTGCCCGTTTGTCTCCTGAGGTCGTTGTTTTTACGCGTCGGCCCCCCTGCAAATCTAAGTGATAGCCTTTGAGTTAATTAACGCGCGGCTCTCCATAATGACATGACATTAGGCAGCGCGCACAAAAAAAATGATACTCAGCAGCCCTCCCCCTTCTCTATTCACGCCAGGCATGCACACACCCAAACAAAACCATCTGCATGTTGTGTAACCACCAACGAGCAAACCAAGAGGCTGTGATATGTGAGCAAATACAAGGAGAGGCTAATGTAAGCACAGCAAAAACAACACACATCAGAAACCTTGATGTCAAAGTTAGTTAGTTGCATCGGTTGTTGATCGGTTGTACTCGCCTCAGAGGCTTTCCTGCTGAAAGGGCACAAGCCACCTGCTAGACCTTGGACAGGGCAGCAGTTTGCCAAATGCATTGTTATAAGACAATGGATTTTGCTTAAATGCTGCAGCGTTTTTGTATGAAAGCCATTCGTAATGGATTGGTAATTACAAGTATGAGCTGCTACATGGGTTCAAATAATCCTCTATACAAATGCTCCCTGAATGGCGTCACCACCTGTGCCCATTCTATCCCCAACATGGCTGTTTTGCGTTGCACTCTGCACCTTTACTCCACACATTTGGTGGCAGGGATACTTCCCATTGAACATTTATTACAAAAGAATGAGAAAAAAAAAACAAAAAAAAACAATCTTGTCTTTCTTCCTGAGCCCCTGGTGGTATTATTGTGTTTCCATTCAGTGGTGCTTCATTCAAAGGATTTTGCTGCTGATAGCAATCATGCATTATTAAACAAAGCCTGACAACATGCACAATGTTAATTAGAAAAGGGGGGGGGGGAGTGTGTGGTAAGAAAAAAGAAAGGGGCTGTTGAGCTGTCTACTCTCTCTCCTTCCCCATGATCCTTATCAGAAATGTGAAAGAAAAGGAGGGTGGGATGTTTATATTCTCCATAATGGCTGCTCTCTATTCTCATTCGAGTGTCTGAGCGTGCTATTCTGCTCTATTTAAACCGCCAATATTATAAAAATAATCAGTCGTATTTATCTTATATTCCAGCCACAGTGCAATGAACGCGTTACGAGGGGAAATGCACTCTGAAAAATGATGAACATCCAAAGCAACAGGTTCACACCATCTTCATGCAAAATCTCGTCATTCCATGTTTCTTCATATGCCGTAAAAATATAAGGAAACCGAGTCCAAACTGGCGGAAAAATGAATCCTGACGTGAGATTGCTACTGATGGTGCCATTTTTAACAGATTCAACACGGAGTTGAGCAAAGTAGTGAAACCGCATTATGCCCATCCTTCGTGCAAGTTGACTAATTTCACTTTCAACTGCTCCAGGGAATTTTTAAACTGGGTGTTTTTTAACTTCAGGCTCATGCACAAACTCAATTGAACTTCAAGGAAATAGTGCACGGTATGTTATCCTAACAGACCAAAGCAGCCACAAAAATGCCACAAAATCTATTAAGACCAAATCCCTCTGTAATTAGCCCGACACATGCAAGGACGAGGCACCACAAAAGTACAGAGGATGTGATCCATACTGCATTGTGTTGTAAAAAAAAAAGTTTTCAGTGTATCATGCCCAGCCAGGCACAGCAAATAAGACTTTGTTTCGTTTTATGAGGCAGGACTTTCTATTTCCCTCCAGACTAACAGAGTTGAAAGAATGCTGTAATTAACCCGCACACGCGCACTTTAAGACTACAGTCATGTCGAAGGGTATGTGAGCTGTCTTTTCTTGACTGATTTATAGAAAGGAAAGCTTCTGTTTCCCAAATACAAACTTTGCTTCCTTCATTTTGCTTTCGAGATACAAATGAATACAATTGTTAAAGTCCTCTGGTTTGCAGGTCCTTGTATGTATTCAATCGATAAAAACATTGCAAATATAGCTTTGCTGTTTTGCATGAACCAGTACTGTAAGAATTACATATTTAAACTTATTTGCAGTAAGTTTCTGATTGCAAATCAAGACACCACATTTTCCTTGCTTGTAAATGGCACACTGTCTCTGTTATTCTGATATCAAACTTTTGCACACTGCCCTCACCTTCCATATTTTTGCACTAACTACACAGCTCTTTCATACACCAAACACAGAAATTGTACATTACAAATAGTGAGTGGGTGCCTGTGCCGCTGGATTGTCTTAAACATCATATGACCAGATTTAAAAAAAAATAATAATAAGCTCATCAAAGGCAAAAGCTGCACACAACCATTTCCTTCACCAATCCCCACTTCCTCATCAGAGGGGTTAAGTTTGGGTGAAGTCACAATGAGTTTCACATGCTGGCTGCAGCCATGTTTTTCTCTTTCTTTGATGCCACAGTGTAAAGTCTGTCAGTCTCTCTCCACTGCTTTAAAGCCCTTTATGTGCTCTAAGTTATTTCTTTTCCGAACCCTCCTCCCTTTATTTTTTGTCTCTTCTCTCTGTTTTTCCTCTCACTATTTTTTTTTTCTTCTACTACGACTTTCTTCTGCCAGCGATGGAGTGATTTAAGACCGAGTGACAAGGCCGTTTCTCACACATCGCTCCCGATCAGCCGGCATGTGTAATAACATCCCTCAAGCTAAGCTAAGCTATGCCCTCAAGTGCAGCCTCCACATGAAAGACCCTGACAACCGCACATCAGAGGAGTTTATTTGCAATACTTATTTATTTTCTTTTTCCCCCTCCCTCTTCGCCTCCCCTGACCTCCCTCCAACAAGCCTCCCACGGTCATAAACTATGCTTTGGGTGGTACAGCCGACTTTCTGTCTGAGAAAGTCAGGGTTTTTTTTTTTTACAGTTGCAACTGCAAGACTGACGAATTTTACAACAAGCGAATGCTGTTGATACCCTTACTGATGGATATGTCTTGTTTTAATATGAATGGATCAGCCAACATGAAAGGCCCAGCAGGAAGCTAATTGGCTCTGATGACATTTGTCTGTCTAATAATTGCCTTAAAAGCACCTGCTGCGCCTGTAGGACAAGGAGCTATCACAGAGTCATGTCAGTTGTGTGTCCATTGCAAATTAGTCCCCGGCGATTTCAAAGCCATCCGCTGTTTTGTTTTTTTCTTTTTTTTGTCTGTGGATTGATCTTTACATTGAAATGTCACAGCATGAGCAGTCTAACATCCCATTTATACACCTAGCTCCTGAACACTGCTGTCAATCAAATTATATTTTTGAACCATTTTTTTCTGATGTTATCCCCTTTATGCAAAAAAAATAAAATAAAATTAG